AAAAAAAAAAAAAAAAAAAAAAAAAAGACCAAGAAAGTAGACCGTGCGGGTTCATCCCTGTAATCCCAGCACTCAGAAGGTTGAGGCAGAAGGGATCACTATGAGTTTGAGGTCAGCCCTAACTACACAGCGAGATCCTGGGGGGGGGAGGGGAGAGAGAGTGCAAATAGCATGAATGATGGGATGTGTTTGAAGGGAAGGGTAATATTTTGAGGGAATGCGTGACATTGTATCTTTTTTTTTTTTCTTTTTGAGACAGGGTCTCATTACGCAATTCAGGTTGGCCTTGAGCTAGCTTTGTAGCCCAGGCTGGTCTCCAATTTGCAATGAGCCTCCTGCCTCAGCCTCTCAAGTGCTCGGAGTACAGGCGTGCGTCACCACACCTGGCTGTCATTGTGTCTTTTCCTGTAAGAAATTTTTATTTTTTATTTTTTATTTATTTTTTTTGGTGGAACTGGGGATTGAACTCAGGCCCTTGCGCTCGCCATGTAAGAAATTTTTAAAAACAAGAGTTCACCTATATTTTCATCATCCCTGGTACATCAGAGCAGGTGTGCCTTGCGATCAGCCTCGACTGGTCCCGGCCCCGCTCCCACCACTGAAACTACATTTCCCAGAAGGCCCAGCGGCCAGGGCATGCGCATCATAGCACTCGGAAGCTGTGACGCCAACCGAGTTTCACTCCGGCTGCCTCCTGCTTGGAGTCGGAGTCACAGCTCGATCTCTACTCAGGCCGTCCGGGAGCTGCAGCTTGAGCGCGGTGGTTCCCTCAGCCTGCCTCCTCGGCTTCCTCAGTCTGGTGAGAGGGGCCGGACCACCTGTTCGTCGTCAGGGCTGGAGTCCCGAGGCAAGGGGTGCGAGGGGACACCGAAACAAGCTGGGACCGGAAGGGGGCGAGGGAGGGACTGCTGGGCCGGGCGGGAGGGCAACCTGGGGGAACCGGGAGGACTGGCCCGAGGTCCTGGGAGTGGGAGTCGGCGCGGAGGACGCCCGGGGCTGCGGACCGGACTGGGTGCGGTGTGGGCGGGAGGGGCACCTCTGGGAGTTTGGGACCCACAGGACCTGGGGCGTCAGGGATATTGTCACTGCGCTCCCCGGCGAGGGTGTGGGCTCGGGTCGCATCTGCGTCCAGGTGAAGGGCTCACTGAGCCGGCGGCTGTACTTTAGAAGAGTTTGCCTTCCGGTTCTGCTACTTTACTCTCAGATGGGGTCTGTCCTCCCGGAAGCGCCTATCTTCTGGGGTCCTGGGTCACTTGAGGGGTTCGTAATGATGAAGAGGTTTTAGGAGACTTCCTTTTTATTCCGTCTCTTTGAATCAGCTGCCGTCCTCCATCGCTGACTTCACTTCCCTAAGTGCAACGAGCGTTGGAAGTAGGATGTGCACGGAGCTCTGGACTTCTAAGAAACTCAAAATACTTCTGAACGTCATCCTAGCACCTCTAGAATTTTAGAAAGTAGATTTTCTGGTAGTCAGAATCAGGGCTGGTTTAAGCTGTGTACATAACTAGGCCTTTTGTTCATTTGCTGTGTGACCTTGGCCAAATTTTTCCCCTCTGGGTGTGTTGACTTCCAGGGTGCCTACATTGCAAACTGGCCTCTGAAGTCCTTTTAGGCCTTTCAGGAAAAGGGCTCTGATCGTTTCCCGCATCCCCTTGATTGTTGAGTGGGCTGGGAAAGACTCTCATACCTTCTGCTCTGCCCAGGCTGTTGGAAAATAAATCTGGTAATTTCCAGTCCCCAGCCACAGCACACGGATCCAACATCTGTGCACTCGTTTTCACTCACTGCTTGCTGTTTCTCAATTTAAAACCTGATCATCTTCTTGTTGGCAAAGGTGCCTTGGGATTTGTGTCGCTGACTCAGCAAGCCCTTCAAATTTGCCCGGTTCTTGTTGTTTGTGTTTCATATCAAGATGGGAACTTAAACAAGTTATTCCTCCTAAAGATCTGGTGTCTGCATCAGAAGGGATGGTTTGTTGCCAGCTCTCCGAAGAGACAAGGTGAGAGCCATAGGCAGCTTGCCTGGCTACTTTCTCAGTTTGGCTTTCCATATGGAAGGTAGGCTCTCAGGAGGGTGGCGTCCAAGGTCTCAAGGATGAAAGTGAGTCCTGGGAGTTGATTGTTGATTGCCAGCTGCAACAAATAAATTCTATTGGCTTCTTGCCAGCAGCTTCTCTTGTCTAACCAGTCTAAGAGGGTGCTTCTGCCTTTAAGACACACTTTACAGGATGCAGGACCCAAGTCATGATTTCTGCACTTGAACTGGAAATCTGGAAATTCCCTTTCTTTGGTTGCACAGACATCTACTGAGTGCCAGACAAAATCTCTGTCTTTTGGGAACTTGTAGAAAGATAGACGCCACCATCAGTGACAAGGTGTCAGTGCAGTGACAGGTGTTGTCAGTGTGATGTGTATGGAGCTGGAGGGAATCAGGGCAGTTTCCCTCCTTTGGAGGGGGATAGGAAGCAGGGATAGGAAGAGCAAGTGTGGTAGTGAATACCTGTAATCCCAGCACTTGGGAGGCTGAGGCAGGAGGATCACTGTTTGAGGCCTACTACTGCCAGAAAAGAGAAAAAATTAGGAGAAATCGTAGCAAAGGAACATTTGCAAAGTCATGAAGCTATGGCACAGGACTGGACCTCTAAGGCTAGATAGAGGAGCCTGGAACAGTGGGCAGAGGACAGAGTTGGGGGCTTGGGGGTCACGTCCAATGCTGTGATTCATCTCCCAGAGGCTTATGTGGTAGAAGCTTGGTCCCCCAAGTGGTGATTGATGGTGGTGAGATATGAAAGCTTTAAGAGTTAGGCTCAGTGTTTTACATTTGGAATCCTAGTTACTCAGGAGGCTGAGGCAGGAAGATCAAAAGTTCCAGGCCAATGCAGGCACTTTAGCCAGACTCTGGAAAAAAGGGGGGGTGGGGAGGTTGGGGGGGTTAGTAAATAGCTTAGTACTCCCTGGGTTCAATCCTTATTGTATTGAAAAAAGAGGAAGGGAGGAGCTGTGGGGCCTAATGAGTGATAATTAGGTCACCTCCCTGATGAAAGGGTTAATACTGGTCCATGCAGTAGGTTGGGTCTCCTAGGCTCATTGAAGGGCTGGGAGATAGCTCAGTGGTATAAGCGCCTGTCTGGCAAGCACAAGGTCTTGAGTTCAATCTCCAGTAGCAAAAAAAAAAAAAAAAAAAAGTGATTTCAGATAGCTTGTTGATATAAAGGGAGATCACCCCCACATACTTGGCCACTTTACTGCCACGTAGTGACACCTCAGCCCTGAGTGCCATGTTCCTTGTACCCTCTAGCCATCAGAATCATTAGCCAAATAAGAATCTTACATTTATTTATTGCAAATAAGAATCTTTACTTTATAAATTGTCTGCATCAGGTATGCTAGTATAGCAACCCAGAACAGATAACCACGTCTCTGGAGAGCAGGAGGATCTTTATCAGGATTTCTCACGTATTTGGTGCAGGGTCTCATTACACAGCTTGGACTCATAGTGAGCCTCCTGTTTGCAGTCTTCCCAGTGCTGGGATTACAGGTGTGTGTCAACATGCCTGGACTTGGTAACTGTTCTGCCAGCTCAGCGCACCCCGGGGGTGAGGCTGGCGCAGCCTGTAGAGTAGGGGATCGAACCCCAGTCCCTGTACTTGCCTAAGCAGGCACTTAGTCCGCCTAGCTATCTTGCCAGCTCTAGTGGAATTTCTTGAAGGGCCTCTTGAAGGAGCTCACTGGCTGAAAAGTGGGACGGATTTTTTTTTTTTTTTTGGCTGGCTCAGGATGCCTTAAGGGCAGGTCTGATAAGGCATGAGGATCTGGGGATCGAACCACAGCATCCAGAGCCTGAATGCTTTTGAAAAGTGGAACAGATTAGGTTGGATTAGTCTCTTTTTGCCAGCTTCTTGCAGAGGATGGGTGGTGAGAGCTGCTGTCCTCAGCTGTTCATAGCCTAGGTGAAGAGGAAAATAGCTGGTACCCTGGCACATACCTAGAATGTAGCTGCTTGGCAGGTAGAGGCAGCAGGCTGGGAAGTTCCAGGACAGCCTGAGCAATTTAGCAAGATCCTTCCTCAGAATAATTTAAAATAAGGCTTGGCGTGCAGCTCAATAGTAGACCTTATGGTCATCTAGTATGTACAAGGTCCTGGGTTCGATTTTCAGTACCACGGAAAAGACAAGACAGAGAGCTGTGAAGGACAGAGTGCTGTGGGGGTTAAGAGAAATTTTCTTTCTCTTGGGCCCACTACGGCATGCTTAAATTAGGCCCGGCACAGGCTGACGCTGTGCTCAGTGGTAGAGCACTCACCTAGCCTTGTACTTGAGGAAGCACAGTTTTGCACCAGTGTCTGAGAGCGTCTAGGAGAGAGGGAAGCTGGAGCCATCTGGGAGGGAGTGTGCACTAACCCAAGGGGGTGAAGGTGTAGAGGTCCTGCTCAGATGTTCTGAGGCTTGGGATGCTGATGAGAGGGGAGAGCAGGCCCTGGCAGCTGTGGGGCTGTGGGGCTATGGGAACAAAGGCTGAGGAGGAGCAGGAATCTGAATTTTTTTTCTTGGTTGCCTGAAGCAAGGTAGAGCCAGGAAATCAAGGGGAGATGGAAAATTGGAAGGAAAGTAAGTTTGGCTTCAGACCTTTTGAAGGTAGTTTCGAGGCCAGAGGGAATAAGGCCATGGGGCTGGGGAGAAAAGCTGTTCATTCCACAGATTCCTGCTGAAGTTCTGTCTGCCAGGGCTGGGGTTTGGCACTCAGAGAGCGAAGTTGTCTCAAACTGTCTCTCTTTGGTGTTTGTTTTCTCAGGTAAACCGAGAACTAGATTAGTACACATGCATCGGTGTTGACACATGGCTTGCGTTTATTCAGTCTATTCCTTTTTTTTAAGTTTTTTTTTTTTTTTTTTTTTTTGGTGGTACTAGGGATTGGACTTAGGACCCTGCGCTTGCCAGGCAGGCGTTTGTTGTACTGAGCTGTCTCCTGGGTCCTGTTCTTTTTGGAAAACTTTTTTTTTGTGGTGGTACCAGGGATCGAACTCAGGACCTTGTGCTTGTGCTTGCCAGGCAGCATTTATTCCACTTAGCTATTCCCCCAGCTCCTCAGTCTGTTGCTCTTTTTTTTTTTTAATTTAGTGTGTGTGTGTGTGTGTGTGTGTGTGTGGCCAGCTCAGCCCACCAGGGGGCGCAGCTGGCTGGCATGTGGTGCTGGGGGATCGAACCGTGGTCCCTGTGCTTTGCCAAGCTTGTTCCAAGTAGGTGCTTTAGACCACTGAGCCATCTCTCCAGCCCTCTGTTGCTCTTTTTAATGAATATGGAGGTCTTCGCATTTCAGCCAACCAGAATCAAAGCAGGGGTCTTGAAACAAAGTTGTGCATCAAATCAACTCCTTTGAGCTTCCTTTCTGTTCTCATCAACTATCAAGGTTTGCCACCACACCCAGCCTCAATTGCTGCTCAGTGTGCCCCAGGGGCGGGGCCAGCACAGCAAGCCTGGGGATTGAACTCCTGGCCCCTGTGCCTGCTTGCAGGCACTTTAATCTGCTGAGCTATGTGGCTGGCCCTTGCTTTCATTTTCATGTGTATCTACATCTGCGGTATTTATAAGGAAAGTTAAAAAAAAAGTGCTAAGATTTATCCACTTTTTAAAAAAAAATCTACATTATTTTATGTTATCCAGTTCATTTGTTTCTGATGTTGAGTAATAGTCCATGGTGGGAACACTGATCATCCCTGGTGCGCTATTAGTTATTTCTGGTTTGTTTATTTATTTGTTTTTGCTTTCTGGGGGGGGATAGGGTCTCACTGTGCTGTACATAATGGCCTTGAACTCCCTTATGTAGCCCAGGCTGGATTCGAACTCAGAACACTCCTGCCTCAGCCTCCGGAGTGCTGAGATTACAGGCATGCAATACCATGTCCAGTTGATCAACTATTCTTCATTTTAAAGTTTATATTGAGTGTTCTGTGTCTCATTTGAATGTCCATTTCCTGAACATAGTTGTTGCTTTCAAGGAACTCTCCTGGGGAAGGGGACAGGTAGATATTTTACACACTTGAGCTAGGATAGGTAGAAGTATCAACTTCTCCCCACAGGGCAGGAACGAATATAGGATTGATTTCACAGGGCAGTCTGTTGCAAGCTGGGAATTAAGAGATGAGAACATAGCCTCTGGGATAGACACTCAGTGGGGTGCGAAGAGTCTGAATCCTCTTGAGCAACTCTCATACCACCAGAAGGTCCGGAGACTAGCTGAGGGCTTGAGGGGTAAGGCGGGACCTGGTGAAGTTAAGAGGCTGCCATGTGAACTGGGTCTCAGCGGGGCTGCAGGGGGAGTGGGAGAGGGAGGAGAGGTGGATCAGAGTCCAGGAGCTGGATGCAGAGAGTTACCAAGGCGTGGTGTGACTCTGGACAGCCCTCTGGACACACCCCATAGGCAGTAGTGGCATCTGGGGTAACCCAGAGAGTGTGTCCCAGCCCTCTGGCAGTTTGCTCTGGATGTCCCCCTCAGGTGGTGGATACGAGCTGGCCTGTCTGCAGAAGTGGGGTGTGTCGCTGGCAAGGGCAGTCGGCACTCCCACTCACTGACAGACACGGGTTCAGAGGAGGATTGCACAAGTGCAGGACAGTGGGGGCTCAGTGTTAAATGTCGGGGAGACAGCATAGGGGTTGGCTAAGGCACGTGGGCCACATTCCGCCCACATTTGTTTTTGTTGCAAAGATTTATTGGAATACAGCCACTTCAGTTAGTTTACATATTTTTGCCATGCAGTGGCAGAGTTGAGTAATTGCAACAGATTGAAATACTTGTTTTTGGGTCCTTTACAGGAAACGTTTGCTGTACCCATCCCACCCACCCCACCCCATAGGCAATAGTGGCATCTGGGGTAACCCAGAGAGTGTGTCCCAGCCACTCCGTGGGACTGCCAGTGGTTTCCAGGTGGGTAGTGGGACTAGGTCAGCCTGTGAATGTTGCCTTCTTTGGTTTTCTAGAGAATCTAGAAGCCTGAATTTTTTTTTTTTTTTTAGAAGTTAATATTCCAATTTTAAATGCTGGCTCAATTAAAAAAAACAAATTGAAAAAAAAAAAAAAAAAACACCAAATTGTAGACCAAACAAAACACCTCTGGAGAGCTGGGGTGTAGCTTGGTGTGGTGTGCTCAGTGCACCCCAGGGGTGTTCCAGACCCTGCACTACATCCCCTTCCAAGGGTGCTGCAGAACAAACCCTTCATCTGCCAGCCAATTTGTCCAGCACCCACGAGCCCTCTGTCTTGATGGGGAAGGAGCCTGGAAGCAGATGGGGGTGGTGATGTTGATTTGGTTTGGTGGTGGTTATTAGTTTTTATTTTGTTTGCAATACTGGGGATTGGACCCAGGGTCTTGCACTGACCTCCATTCCTAGCCCTTTTTTAATTTTTAATTTTGAGACAGAGTCATGCTAAATTACCCAGGCTGGAGATTTGCTTAGTCTGTGTGTTCCAGGCAAGTTGCTTTTCTTTTGCCTCATTGTCCTCTTAAAAGTGGAGGCATCCCTGCCCCCATTGTGAGCATCCAGCAGGCACCCTTAAAAGCCTGGCACTTGGGAAGTCCTTGGCACATGGCTCCTGCACCCCAGTTAGGCCCGAGAACTGGGGCTTTGCAAGAGCATTTGTAAAGCAGAGCCACAGCTGTTTGGTTCCAGATGAGGGAATTAGGGCTTGCTGGTCCCTGAGGCTCTGGAGAGCTCAATCAAGTGAGGCAGAGAGCTGTTGTCACTTCCTCCAGCCACCTAGTGTACAGCGGGCACACCCTTTTTGGTTTCCCTTAGTGTCTGGTGGCACTGCCTTGAGCTATCTCTTCCCAAGACCAAAGCCCCAAGCTGGGGGTGTCACATAATGGGAGAATATTTGCCCAACACGCCAAGGCTCTGGGTATGATCCCCAGCACTGCAAAAAAGGAATTAAAAAAGGACCAAAGATGCATCATGCCAGGTGCACAGAGCTGGGTGAGCCTGGCCAGGTGTCATCCTTAGGCACCTGGGTGTTTGCTTTTCACCTTTTCTTAGAACTCAGGGATGCTAGGGATGTAAGATGTGTCTCTTGGCAAGGAGGTGCCATGCGAAGTTGACAAGGCCTATTGTTACTGAAACCTGCTGGGGTGGTAGCAGCTATTTAAAGTAATGCTGGCAAGTGCAGGGGGGTGGTGATGTTGATCTGGTTTGGTGGTGGTTATGAGTTTTTATTTTGTTTGCAATACTGGGGATTGGACCCAGGGTCTTGCACTGACCTCCATTCCTAGCCCTTTTTTAATTTTTGATTTTGAGACAGATTCATGCTAAATTACTCAGGCTGGGCTGAGACTTTCCATCTTTCTGCCTCAGCTTCCATACTAGCTTAAATTACTGGCATATCCCACCATGTCTAGTTAAGGTTTTTTTTTTTTAGGCCGCTAGAGGACCTCATACATGCTGAACAGGTGCTCTGCCACAAGGTTATATCTCCAGCTCTTGGTTATGACCTCTTGAAAGTGTATGTGTGTGTGTGTGTGTGGGGGTACTATCAGGTACAAACAGTTAAACAAAATTTGGTCTTCCTTTTTTTTTTGTATTTTTAGGAAAAGGTCTACAGAGTGTTCAGGGTCTCACTACTAGATCAAACTCGCAGTAATCTGGCTGTTTACAGTCTCCCAAGAGCTGGGATTACAGGTGCGTGCCACCACACCCAGTCTCAGTTGCTGTCTAGTGCATCCCAAGGGGGCGGGGCCAGCACTGCAGGCCTGGGGATTGAATCCCTGGCCCTGCTTGCAGGCGCTTTAATCGGCTGAGCTATTTGGTTGGCCCATTTCTGTGGTTTCTCAGGCCCTTGCGCTTGCCAGGGAAGCGCTTATTCTACTGAGCCATCTCCCTGGCCCTGTGGTTTTTAATATAGTATTTTTTAAATTGAGTTTTCTTGTTTTTTGCAGTAGGGTCTCATTCTGAAATTCAGGGTACCCTTGATGCCCCTCCCAAGCACTGGGATTACAGGTGTGCACCATCACTGCTGGATTCCACTGGGCTTTCTTTCTTTCTTTTTTTTTTTTTTCTTTTGGCAGAACCGGGGATTGAACTCAGACCCTTGCGCTTGCCAGGGAAGCACTTATTCTACTGAGCCATCTCTCTAGCCCCTCCACTGGGCTTTCTCTGTGGTTATTTACATCCCAGTAGTACTATTTTGAATATTTTTCTGTAATTTCTTTAAGCAATCATTTATTTATTTATTTATTTACAGTGCTGAGGATGGATCCCGGGGCCTCCTGTTAGGTAAGTGCTCTGCCACTGAGTTGTATCCCTGGCCCACAGAAAGGTTTTATCCTTCTGGGCATTGTGAAGTTTAGGTCAGTTGGGGCCAGTGCTGAGGGCTGAAATTACCTTTGCTATGCAAAAAATCTTTCATTGTGCCTTTTTTTTATGGCCACCTAGGGATTGAGCCCAGGGTTTTTCCCACTGAGCTACATTCCCAGTCCATTTTTAAATTTTCATTTGGAGACAGGGTTTCTATATGTTGCCCAGGCTGGGCTTAAACTAGTGGTCTTCCCTGCCATTGCCTCCCAGTTCCCTGAGTGCTGGGATCATAGGTATGCATCACTATGCCTGGCTGACGGATAAACAAAATTTCTACTGCAGTGGAACTTTTTTGCCAGGCAGATGCTTAATCTACCGAGCTATCTCCCTGGCCCCTACAGTGGAAATTTTTTGAAGTTTTGTTTTGAAGGAGGGTAAATTCACACATGAGAATCGGTCTTTTGCAGGTGTTATGGTTTGTGTATAGGTGTCCCTTCACTAACTGTGGCTAAATAAATCTTTCGTTCCTTAATTTTTTTTTTTTTTTTTTTTTTTTTTTTTTTTTTTTGGTGGAACCGGGGATTGAACTCGGGCCCTTGCTCTTGCCAGGGAAGCACTTATTCCACTGAGCCAACTCCCCAGCCCCACGTTCCTTAATTTTGGATATTGGGTATTTTGTCCCAGCAACAAGAGAAGAGTACCTATACAGAATTTTGTACTGGAGAAGTGGGGTCATGGCTGTGACTAAACCTGACCATGTGGATTACAAACTTGTGGGAATGGGTTATGGAAAGAGATAAGAAAGGTTTGGAGGTGTCACCTGTAAGAGAAGCACTGGAACAGCTTTTGCTGTTTTGTATGGGAGATTCAGGTCAGAGCTCAGAAGACTAGAAGGCTGATAGACATCCTGCCTGTAAAGACCAGGCTGGAGAGTTTTCTGCTGGGAAGAAGGACTACATTGGTTGTTGGACTCCAGATGATAATGTGTTTTGGCTTGGCAGAAAGTTTGTCTACATTTTGCTCTTGTCCAGAGACTTTACTTGAGACTGAGATTAAGCATGGCGGACTGATTAATCTGACAAAGTAAATTTCAAAGCAATCGAATGTTTTTTTTTTTTTTTTTGCAGAACTGGGGATTGAACTCAGGCCCTTGCACTTGCCAGGGAAGTGCTTATTCCACTGAGCCATCTCCCCAGCCCCTCAAAGCAAACAAATGTTGAAGCAGTGGCTTGGCTATTATTGTTGGCTTTTAATCAGATTTATGTTGAGAATTAAGAGCAAGGAGCCTTGTAGGCTGCTTTAAAATGTGAGTTTGGCTAGAAAGGAAGATCCAGGGGCTGTTGAGATGGCTCAGTGGTCTAAAGCACCTACTTAGAACAAGCTAAGCTAAGCAAAGCACAGGGACCGCGGTTCAATCCCCCCGCACCAAAGTGCTGGCCACACGTGCGCGCGCGCACACACACACACACAAATAAATAAATAAATAAATGCTAAAAAAATGAAGTTCTTAAAAAAAAGAAAGGAAGATTCAATAAAGCTGTGGACTACAAAGATGGAGCTGAGAGGATCTTCATTGCTGAGAAGGAACAGGAGACTAGAAAGGATGGCCTGCGGGCATCACTGGAGGCAGCAGGTCTCCACCCTTTGCAGCCTCAGAATTGCAAGGGTGAGCAACTTTGCCTTGAGGGCAAAGCCTCAGAGCCCCACATTCCAGAATGGCGGCTACAGCCATACCAGGTTCCGGAATGGTGCCGGCATGCTGCATGGAGAGTTTATTCCATGGAATCAGGGTCAGCGTGCTCAGTGATCCAGCCACTTGACCCCTACAGCCAAGAGGAAGCCTGGCTACTGCTCCAACTGGCAGCAGACCTTGGCATCATCCACGTGGCATTGGTTTTAGGTTACAAAGTCTTCCACCTAGATTTCAGAAGGCCTGGGAGGCCGACATTGTGCTCCCTGAGAGGGCAGTGTGTAAACCTGTGAGTGAGAAGCCTATTCAGTGGAAACTTTAGAAATTTAGAAAAGCCAGGAACACAGATCATCTAAGGGAAACAGCAAGGAGGGAGCAAATCTTGCCTAAGAGAGAAGCTGTGGGAGCTACCACCAAGAGTGCCTTAGGGACAGAGCCACATGGAATTCACAGTTTGCCACAGATGGTGCTTCAGATGTTCCACATGGAACTGTAGGACTTAACGTAAGCCCTTCTGGATAATTTTTTTCCCTTCTGGATTATTTTTGACTTCCTTTGGTCTGAGTGCTTGGTATCCTGCTGTGTGTACCTTTTGGGCTATTTGTACTTTTTTTTTTTGTAGAACTGAGGATTGAACTCAGGCCCTTGCACTTGCCAGGGAAGCGCTTATTCTACTGAGCCATCTTCCCGGCCCCACCTTTTGGAATGATAATGTTTATCTGGTCTATTATTTTTTTTAATCTTGTGCTGCTATTATTATTATTATTATTATTATTATTAATTTTAGTGTAGGGTCTACAGGGTCTCACTACGCAGATCAGACTCCCAAGCTCTGGGATGACAGGTGTGCACCACCATGACAATTTAGCCTGCCCGGGGGAGGAGGGAGAAGCATGGCACATGGGGGATTGAATTTCAGTCCATGTGCCTGCCTAAGCAGGCACTTTAGTCCACTGAGCTATCAGGCCATTAAATGTTGGAAGGTTTTAACTTTTAATTTGTACAGGGGCTTACAGCTAAGAGTTTGCCTTAGATCTTTTTTTTTTAAATTTTATTTATTTATTTATGTGGGGGGCAGCTCAGCCCACCAGGGGGTGCGGCTGGCTGGCATGTGGTGCTGGGGGATTGAACCGCGGTCCCTGTGCTTTGTTAAGTTTGCTCTGTGTAGGTGCTTTAGACCACTGAGCCATCTCACCAGCCCCATTGCCTTAGATCTTGGCGGAGACTTAGGATTTGTACTTTTCAGCAATGCTAAAACTGTTAGGACTTTGGCACCTCTTAGAAATGGACTAAAGTGCCTTTTGCATAAAGGGATGCGCATGAATCTTTGGAGGGTCCAGGGGTGGTTAGGGGGTCTAGGGGTAGAATGTTATGGTTTGTGTATAGGTGCCCCCCCCAAAGCCTCATGCAGTCATGGGGTGGCTTCTGGAGTTGTGATTGATTATTGTGGGTGTGAGTGCTGCGCCAGTCCTGGGGCAGGTAACCTGCATTACAGTGTGGGTGGGGAGGAGAGAGGCTTAGTAGAAGCTGCAGCTGCTGCCACCACTCCCTTTCTCGTGCTCTTTGCCACCACCATGAACAGTTGCTCTCTGCCATGTGCCACTTTGCCTTGGAGCTAGCTGAGTAAGACCTGAAACCTCCATTAACTGTGAGCTAAATAAATAAACCTTTCCTTCCTCAATTTTGGGTATTGGGTATTTTGCCCTAGCAACAAAAGAAGAGTAACTAAGACAGCAAGACTTTGGAGAAGCTTCCTGCCAGGGCCCCTGTGCACCATAGGTCTGTGAGGTCATGTTTTGCTCAGAGCCTAGGCTCACAGTCAGTTGCTGGGTGTGACCTGGTTTCAGGGCCAGGCTTTTGGAAAGTACCTGAAGGAGAGACAGATTAGAAAAGAGGGCTTGAAGAGTGAGTAGGTTGAGTTTGGAAAATCCGACCTGGGTTGGTAGAATCAGAACTTGTAGCAGCCCTAAAAGTCACTTGGTAGAGCTGGTTTCCACTCCACGTTCCTCAGAAGCCTCTTTCTTTTTTTTCTCCTTTCAGTGCCGGGGTTGGAGCCCAGGGCCTCCTGCGTGCCAGGCAAGGGTTGTCCCCTGGAGCTTGGTCCCAAACCCCAAACCCTCCTGCCTTGCACTGGAGCCTCAAAGGACTCTTGAAGAGAAGGCTTTTTTTTTTTTTTTTTGGCGGGACTGATTAAACTCAGTCCCTTGTGCTTGCCAAGCAAGTGCTTTATTCTGCTGAGCCATCTCCCCGGCCTCTGAAGAGAAGGCCTCTTGCCGCCACCTCTCTGTATCTCATGTGCCCCATGTGATGAATAGCAGGCATATTGTCACTTCAGGGAACCGGTCTCTGCTGTTTTTGTTATTGAGACAGGGCCTCCTATGATGCAGGCTGACAGGGCTCAGACAGTCCCTGATCCTTAGCCTTGCAGGTGACTGGGAGTGATTCCTGATTCTTAAGAAGCTGGAAGGTGCCTGCAGAGCACCTAGAGAGGGTAGGGCTGCCTCCGGGGAGAGCAGAGCCAGGACAGACAGCTACTCTGGCCAAACCATTAGACTGGTAGGTTTGGAGGGATAGAACAGGTTTCTTTTTCTTTCTTTCTTTCTTTTTTTTTTTTTTTGGTGGAACTGGGTATTGAACTCAGGCCCAAGCGCTTATTCTACTGAGCCATCTCCCTGGTCCCTGGAACAGGTTTCTTATGCAGTGGCAAGTTGAAAACAACGCACTCTGAGGACTGTAAAGGACCAATGCTCAGTCTGACGTGAGAATCCATTTAAGTCCACTTTCAAGGGTACCGCTCCAGCAGCCAACTAGTGGAATCTGTGGAGCTTTCCAGCTCCAGGATCGAGGTTGGGAGAATTGTAGTCAGCTCCTTGTACCAGGTCATGTTTTGTTTTGAAGTTTATCTCAGTTTGGGAACAGAAAGGCTCTTAAAAGAACTGAGGAGATAGCCCAGTGGTAGAGCGTTTGACTAGTATGTGGGAGGCCCTGGGTTCAGTCACTGCAGTCGGGGGAGAAAGGTTCTTGGACACCTGAGTAACTTTTCCCTTCTTCTTTTCTTTATTTTTTAAGACAGAGTCTCATGTCATTCGGGCTAGTTTTGAACATACCATGCAGCCCAGGCTGGCCTCAAACTCCTCTATCCTCCTCTCTCAGCTTCCCATCCGCTGGGATTATAGGTACATGTCACCATGCTCAGCCCAACTGTTTTCTTTATTATGAAAATGTCTTTCCCCTAGGACAACAGATGAGGATTTATGGCTAATTATGCTGAAGCAGGATTTTTTCCCCCCTGGCAAAATTACTATATATATATATATATATATATATATATTTAATAACTTTGGTCAGATCATAAAAAAGAATGATTATTGAATACCATTTGCAAGTACAGAAAGAGGTTTAAAAAAGCTTGCTCATAATTCTGTCACTTTTACGACATTCAAGGGTTTCTTAGAACCTATTTATTTTTGTGGGTTTGAGGACAGAGCCCTCAGAGTCTGTTAGGCAAGCATTCTACCACTGCAGTTCCCTCTCCAGTCTTTTTAAGTTGAGCCTACCTAAAGCTGAAAGAACATGGACTTGACATTTGGACCTCAGGTAAATACTGAAATCTCTTAAGACCCTAGTTCCTTTGTCTATAAAATAAAGATAATTGCTGCCTTTGAAGGTGACTAATGAGTGCTGAAGGACTAGGTGACAAAAACACCAGCTGATCAGTGGCACACCCGCTGCAGTGTAGTGTATGTATGCAGTTACCTAGTCTAACTTACGAGCATTACCTTAGGTCTTTGAGCTTTTCATAAGCTTTTTTTTTTTTTTAATGTTGGGGATTGAGCCCAGGGCCTTTGCATTGATTGCACTGACCCATATCCCCAGCCTTTTGAAAAATTTTTTGAGAGTTTTACTAAGCAAGTTGCCTAGGTTAGGCTTGAATTTAAGAGCCTCCCACCTTACCTCCCAGAATGCTGAGATTATAGACACACACTGCCACATCCGTTTTCCTTTGGATGTGTGGTACTGAGACTTGAATTTAGGGCTTTCCTCCTGACCTACAGAGCTAAATCAACCACTATCCCCTTTATCTTTTTAATTTTACATTGTCTAAGCTGGGTTTTTAACTTGGGATCTTTCTGTCAGCCTCCCAGAGTGCTGCGATTATAGGTGTGTACTACTGTGCCCAACATTGTATGCTTTTCTAAATATTAAGAAAAAAAATTGTAATTCATCATCAGGATATTCCTTTATTTCAGAATTCTCATGTTATGGCCAGGCATGGTTCCATACCTGTCATCCCAGCACTCTGGGAAGTTGGGACAGGATAATCTCAACTTTGAGCCCAGACTGGGCAATTTAATAACCTCAAAAAAAGACTGGGGATCGTCGTTATAGGTCTATGATTCCAGCAATTGGGAGACTGAGGCAGGAGGATCATCTCGAGTTCAAGGCCAGTTTGAACCATGTAGTGAGACCCTTCTCAAAACAAAACAAAGTAAAAAACTTGGGATAAAGGCTGTGGATTCTGTCTGTAGTACCATAGAAACAGACAGAAAAGTCTTATTGAAGCACACAGGTATGTCTGTAGTCTCAGCACTTGTGAGCTAAGGCAGGAGGATCATGAGTTTAATGCCAGCCTGGGGTGTATGGTCAGATCATGGGAAAAAACTCACATATTGAACTGAGATGTGAACTAAGTAGTATATGTGTACATAGTGTATGTGAGGTATGGGATTCCATCCCTAGAAAAATGGGGCTTGCTGGATAGCTTAGTTGTTTAAAGTGCCGCTTGAGCAAATGCAGTCAGGGGCAGGGGACTGTGGTTTGATCCCCAGCTCCACAAGCCCCACCAGACCCGCCCTTAAGGCAGTCTGAAGGAGGAAAAAAAAAAATAATAATAAAAATCCTTCTCTATCCCTAGAAAGCAAAACACCAAAGAAACCCCTCAGAATTCTATATTGTCAGGTGTTCCACTTGCCTCCAAACTGAAGCTTTTTTCTACAACCAATAATAATAATTTTCATAATTAAGAACACCCTAAATAGCCCCCATTATTAGGTGCTGAAGTAAATTAGATTTTGGAACTGCAGCTTCAAGGTGGCTGAGGCTGGTGTTGAGAACAGGTTCCCTGATGAGTGGCCATGTTACGCGGCTCGCTGCTGGGCATGGCTGGGCTATGACTCAATCCCTCGCCCCTTCTCCCCTCCTCTCTCTCTTATGCTGGACACTTGGCCTTGAGGGTGTCCCTGGTCCAGTGGGGACTAAATCCAGTGAATGCAGTGGGTGGCCTAGAATGATATGGCTTCTAGTGAAGTGAGAGTGGACTCGGACCCTGCTAGGGCTGGTATGGAGGGAGGATGAAGACTCAGTGGTCAAGGTGGGGTGGAAAATTGCTTGGAAGATCCTGGGACTCGCCAGGTACCACAGAGAGAGGGACTTGATGTTTGTGACGATGGGCCATAATGAGGGATTGTGTGCCTTGTTGCTGAGGATTGTAGTGACCAGAGGTCCTCCAAAGGATCTGTTCAAAGGATCGAGCAGACCAGTCCCTGAACATGGAAGTTTAACATTTACTTAGGGCAGGGCCAGGGATATAGCTCAGCGGTAAGTGCCTGCCTGTCAAGCTCAAGGTTCCAAGTTCAAAAAAAAAAACGTTCTAAGTTCAATCCCTGGTACTACAAAAACAAACATGTACCTAGGGCAAAAAGAAGAAAAAGTGCTCAAAAGGACAAATTACTATGCAGAGACTTGGAGAGACTGAGAGGGCATCTTCTGCTTTGAGATAGGCTCGCTATGTAGCCCAGGTTGGCCTCAAACCTCCAGTGATCCCTTGACTGGGTCTCCCCAGTGCTGGAATTACGGGCATATGCCATCACGACCAACAGAGAGGGTCTTGATAAACTGCCCAAGCCGAGCTCAAACTTGCCTTTTTCCTGCCTCAGCCTCCTGAGTTCTGGGATTGCTGGTCTATGCCAGTATGCCTAGCTTCAAGGGGCATCTAATGCCAATGCTGGGCCTCCTATGTAGTCAGAGACCCTGTTGGGCTAACCTGGATTTATGGAGGAACAGAACTTATGCTTAGAGTCCCAACTCTGCCACTGCCCCTTCGGGTCCCAGAGGCCTGGTTCTTCCCCTCCTTGTGTTTCCTCATATGTGCACATCGGGTGTTAATCTGCAGTTCACAAACCAACCAGTGCTGGGAACTCGTGTGGGAATAAGGGATATCGTGACCTCACCCACACAAGAATTTGTAGGACTGAAGAATAAACATGAGAGAATAAAGGAAATAGTTGGATTGGAGGGGAGTCATTGGCACCGAGATAGAAGCTGAGCTAATGGTTCCCAGATCCACCGGCTGTATCATCTTCCTGGGCCCTTGCGCAGGCCCGCGGGCTGCAGGACTCACGTGGAATCCTTCCTGGCAGCCTGAGCAAGGAGCTGGGATCACAGACCTGTTTAGGATGCCCTCAAGGCATTTGGGAGAGCTGGGTTTTTATTTCCCCTCCCTGAGGCTGCACCCTGAGGGCTCCGGTGTGCTCCCTAACTGCTGTGTCTGTCCTGTTTCCAGGTCTGCAGGAGGTGCCAGGCGATGAACCCAAGGCTGCAGCCAACTGTGGTGTGAAGCCATCTGGGAAAGCAGAGGAAGTCCTGGGGAAGATGGCCATGGCCCCAGGCCCTTCTCTGGCTCAAGTGTACTCCAGCCCTGTGGCAGTGGCTGTGTGGGAATGGCAGGATGGGCTGAACACCTGGCATCCCTACAGTGCCACCGTGTGCAGCTACATTGAGCAGCAGTTTGTCCAGCAGAAGGGTCAGCGCTTCGGGCTGGGCAGCCAGGCACACAGCATTCCCTTAGGCCAAGCTGATCCCTCTCTGGCCCCATACATCATCGACCTCCCTAGCTGGACCCAGTTTCGCCAGGACACCGGTAAGCCACTCCTGCTTTGACTGAGGCCACGTTGGGTGCTGAGGTTGTGGGGGTGACTCGCATAGCTTCCTCCTCCCTGCCTTGGAAATGTGCGTAGCCCAGAGGCACTGCTGTAACAACAGCTGCTGCAGCAGCAGCAAAGGGTACCTTGCAGTAGAAGAGGGAGCTGTGGAACACACAGCAGAGCCCTCCTGGTCCTTTCCCCATGTCCCAACCCAAAAGACCTGCCTTGATCTGCAAGGATTTGGGTGTCCCTGGAAGGCAGGCTGGCAAGGAGGTTGTGTGCTGTGGAGGTTGACAGGGCTTGACACTCCATGCTCAGCTGTGTGACCCTTGCGGTTACCTCGCTCCTTGTTCCTCTGAGCATTTGTGTGTTCCTTCTCTTAATCTGTAATGTGTCTTGATTGGTATTAACAGAATGAGGCCACCAACTTCTCTTGGATCTGTCCTCCCCCTTTCGTCTGGTGGTTTCCAATTGGGTGTCCCCAGAGATGTTTGACAGTGTTTGGAGATAGCTATTGGGAAGATGATCCTGTCTTCTAGTGGGTAGAAGCCAGGGGTGCTGTTAGATGTCTACTGCACAGATCAGGCCTTGTAACCAGAATTATTGGCCCGGAATGTCACTAGTGGAGACTGTGGCCATGCCCTGTCAGGATCCCTGTCAGCAGCACCCCAGTCTGTGCGAGCACAGGGCTCCCACTTTTATGGTGGGTACAGACCCTGAGGAAGACAGCAGACAGGATTAGCAACACAGGGCTGGTGGTAGGTGCTCCACAGAGCCTCAGCATCACGCGTGACGGGTCAGTCTGAAGTCTGAGCTCAGCCGGCCAAGTCACTGGGACAGGACAGACAGAATGGCATAAGAGAACAGTGTAACAATAGGTACTTACAAAGTTTGAGGCATGCAATGCTTGTAATATGTAGAAATAGTGGGGCCTTTGCAGTGTGGTTGTTGGCCTTCAGTACATACACATGCCTAGAAGGCCTTAGAGGTGGAATACATCATTATCTACTGTGTACTTTTCCCTTGCTGCTTGGACTAGAAGTGATTCAGTTTTCTGTATATGTACACTGAGGAGTTGTTGCTGAGGTTGAACCCAGGGACTTTGTTCTGAGCTACAACCCCAACCCACTTTTTAAAAATGTATTTTATTTTTTGCGGAACCGGGGATTGAACTCAGGCCCTTGCACTTGCCAGGGAAGTGCTTATTCTACTGAGCCATCTCCCCAGCCCCCTGTTTTTTTAATTTTAGACAAGGTCTTGCTAAATGGCTAGGCTGGGCTTGAACTTGCAATCCTTCTGCTCCATCTTCCCCTAGTCCTGAGATTACAGGTGTATCACCACACCCATCTTGATACTTTTTTTCATTCTTAGAAGTGGACACATAGAGGTTTCTTTCTTGTTTTTTTGGTACCAGGAATTGAACTCAGGACCTTGTACTTGCCAGGCAGCTGCTTGTGCTGCTGAGCTATGTTCCTAGCCCCACATAAGAGGTTTCATTATTAGAAATATCTCTTCGCAGAGCATGGCTAACAGAGTCACCATTTGTTTACGTTTGCTGCTCTTTTTAAACAGGTACCATGCGGGCCGTGCGCAGGCTCCTGCTCTCACAGCATTCGGCCACGGGCCGGGGTATCGTCTGGGAGTGGCAGGGCGATGACGGCTCCTGGACGGCCTATGAAGCTTACGTCTCTGACTACTTGGAGCAGCAGATGGCCAGGGGCATCCAGCTTGTGGACTTGGCTCCTCTGGGGTACAACTATACCGTCAACTATGCCACCCGCACGCAAACCAACAAGACTTCCAGCTTCTGCCGGAGTGTTCGTCGCCAGATAGGCCCACCTTACCCGGTGACCACTGTCATCGCTCTACCAGGCCACACAGGAGTCGCCTGCTCTTGCCAACAGTGCCTCCAAGGCAGCGGATCTGGCCCTATGTCAGGCCGCTACCGCCACTCCATGACCAACCTCCCTGCGTACCCCACCCCTCAGGCTTCCCACAGGACCACTGTCATCTTTGGGGTCCACCAGGGCTTTGCCCCATACCACAAACCTTCGCTCTCTGGGGCCAGATCTGCACCGAAGCTCAACACCACCAACCCCTGGGGTGGGGCCCCTCAAGCCCTGGGGAGCCAACCCCTCTTCCACTCAAGCCTGTCCCACGTGGGACCACAGCTCCTGCCCCCTGGACCAACCACTTCCAGTGGAGCCAGGTATCTCGTCTTATTGCTTGTCGTTGTGTCCGCTCTACAAGTCCTGGCAGCCGGCAGGGCTAATGCTTTTACTTACCTGAGCGGATTCACCCAGGTAACCTGCAGATTTGCACCTACCCCCTAGGTGGTCCCTGGAGTCTTACCTCATTTGGTTGTGCTTTGGGTGACCCATTGAGCTCCCTGACCTCTGATCATGGAGTTTTGTAGGTCCCCACTATTTAGGCCTTTCACTCAGGAGCATAGAGCTCTTTGGAGCCAAGTTACAGTCCTTCTGCCTGTGCTTGTGTGTTGCGTGGCAAGTGCCAAACCAGGACATTCTGGGGGACTGTTTATTGCTTCTTGCTGTGGGCTGGGCACTGCAGATGGTTCTGTGAACCACAGTCTAGTTCAGAGGAAGGCCAGGAGCCAGGATGAGGACAGCAGAAGGTGGCAGGGGTGACCTCATCCTCAGGCTGGTAAGAGTCCTTCCCCCCCCCCCAGAGTCCTGTGGTGGTCTCTGCACCTGGTCAGGGATGATGAAATTCTAGATCTGGTCCAGACTGGTGGCCTTTTCACATGAGTGTCTGCTGGCCTTGGCCCACTGCCCATAGTGTGACTGGGTGGGCTGGCTGTGTCCTTTGTCCTCACTGCTGGGTGTTAGGCTTAGAGAGCTTCCAAGCATTCGGAGTGGTGAAGATTGGGGCTGCTCTCTGAGGACAAGTGGCCTGGATGGGTGATGACAGGATGTGTGGGCCTGCAGCTGCCCTGCTTCCCAGAGTGGGGAACATTTTGTGATCTGGGCTGATGGCCAGTCATTAGGCTGATGCCGCTCCATCACCCAGCCCTCTCTGTGCTGCTTTGCCACCGTGAGGGCTGAAGCTTCCCAAGGTTGACAGTGACCTGGTGGGCAGCCTCTTGAGCAGTTGGACCTCTTCAGGAGAGCTTTCGAGGCAGCTGTGAGCTTCTGTGAGGCATACTGTGTGACAGGTACTCTGTTACACACCAGGCTGTGTGAGTGAGTTCATTGGTTGTCACAGAAGCTTTAAGGTAGATGGCTTCCTCACTTTACAGAAGGGCACATCCAGCCTGTGAGGTTGGCCACTGAGCCAGAAAGTGCAAGCAGGATTAAACCCAGCCCCCAAGAATATGCCATGTGGGCTATGCCGAGAGGCCTTGACACTATCTTGAAGGTGGGGTGAGGAGGGCCCTCGTACACATGGAAGGCAGTGGGCCTGGAGTCTGTCAAGAGTTTTCCAGGGCAACTTCTTCCAGAGTAGGAACATTTATCTGAAATATTCTGGGGATTGGTAGCCTACAGAGGTGTCACTGGACCCTGTGTGGACTTTACATGGATCTGAGCAAGCAGGGCTCCAAGACTACCCCTGCCCCTGGTGTGAGTCAGTCCCACTCAGGGCAACAGCAGCATGTTCTGTCTGCTAGCTTGGCACACGCTCCATGTGGATAGCATCACTTGTTTATTTATTTATTTTTTTGTCCTTGATTATTTTTACTTTGAGATGAGGTCTCACTAAATTGCCTAGGCTGGTCTTGAGCCACATGTGGCCTTAAATTGTAAAAAGTTAATTATTTTTTGAGACAGGATCTCACTCTATAGTTTAAGCTGGTCTTGAACTCATTGTATAGCCCAGGCTGACCTTGAATTTTCATCAGGCCTGCTCCAGCCTCCTGAGTGCTGGAGTCACACACATGCACCATCATCCACAGTGGTCATATAAATTGAGACTAACAATGAAATAGTGCCCTAGCTGGGATCCTGGAGTTGAATCAGGTGAATTAGTGAGGCTTTGCCCCCTTCTGGGCCAGAGCACCCATTGGTGTCCCCTTAATAATCTCTCATGTCTCCCCTTCTCACCTGAGGCCTACAGTCACTGACTGGGCCCTACTGCTGTGGGCCAGGCAAGTAGTAGGAAGGTGGCTGCTGGGCTAGCAGCCGTGTGAGCTGCCTCTTGCCCTGCATTAGGAGCAGGGGGAGCCAAGCCCGCCGGCTGTGTTGGTTCAGATGGCCTCAAAGCAGCCTGCCTCCCAGGGTGGGCGTGGACCCCCGTCTTCCCCGCCACTTTCCTGGGGTGTCGTTTCACTGGCACAGACCTATGCAGGCCTGGAAACATAGGAGTTTGCCATGCCTAATCTGTAGTTCCCCCCTGCTGCCCAGTCATGCTCTGGGCTCGTTGTCAGTTGACTTCTTACGCCAGCAGGTACTGGGAGAACAGAGCTCCTGGTGCTTTGTTCTCCCTAGGGATACAGTTGACTCTCAGAGCCAAGTGAATACCAACAGCATCCTGGGTGCCCAGGGGAGGTGGCAGCAGGGTGGGCTGGGCAGGCCCGAGGACAGTGAGAACCAACTTTGCTGGTAGCACTAGAGCTGCTCTGTGAGGTAGTGACATCCCAGGTTTTTGTGGAACCTGTCTTTTTTTAGTTTTGGAATGCATGTAGCTTCAAATTGCTTCTTGTTCAACATGAGGAAACTGGCTGCTTGATTTCCCCATGTCCCCCAGGCTGTGCAGTAGCACAGACAAGCTATGTCGTCTGTAACTGAGCTGCTGGCTTTCAGTTTTCCTTGTACCTGAAGTTTATCCCTTTATGCACCAAAACTTATGATGTCGGTGGAAAACTTTGCAAAGCGTGTCATGGTCACCTGAGTCTGCAAGAGTGGGTTTGACACATTTTGCATGGCATTCTGATCATTTGGTGGTGATTATGACCAGCAGCTTTAAAACTCAGGGCTATGGGGCCAGGGAGATAGCTCAGTAGAATATCCCCGGTACTGCAAAATAAATAAATAAATAAAATATAATAATAATAATAATATAATAATAAAATAATAATAAAATAATAATAAAACAACTCTGGGCTGTGGATTAGCCTGTGGCCTGTGTGCTCTCCAAATGGCACTGCTGGCACCTGTGGTGGCCTTGCCCAGATATCCTCATCCCTGAGGGGACTGCTTTCTCCTGCTGCTGGCTAGGCACTCCTGGCCATAACTGTCTTGGCTGTGTGATTGGCAGGTGTAGGTGGGGCCTGGCAGCAACTTGCTGTGGGCCCCTGGCACCATGGGTCAGCCCTAATCCTTCCAAAGTTCTGTTTTCCTCTTCTATGATTAAGAGGTTAGACCAGTCAGTTTCTGAGTTTCCTTTTGTTGTAACTACAGGATTTAGTGAGGACCCTAAGGACCTTCCTTTGTTCCTTTTGTCCCTCAGAGACCTGGGAAACCTAGGCATTTTTTCTGGACTTCAGATTGAGCCTCTCCACTGCCTGGGACCTTCTGAGTTATTCTGATCCTATAGAGAAATTGAAGCTCAGGGGCGGGGCTTGACATACCCGGGCCCAGCACTTACTTGGGTGCCAGCAACTGGAAGCAGGATCTAGAACCTCACAGCTGGGTCCTCCTGCTACATGTCCTCAGTGTTCCCAGTTGATGCTGCCTGTGGGCCAGATCCCAGGAGCATTGGTGGGAGAGAAGCTTGGGATTGCCTTCCTCTCTGGAGAGCCTCTTCATCTGCCCCTTGCTTGGGACTGTCAGATCCTATCTGTCTCAGACTAAAAAGTTCGTAGGTTGTGTGCTTGGCTCCATTTGGGAGTGGTCCCCATAGGGAAGCTAAGGAGGGCCTAGTAGGGAGACCAGGCACAGCGCGGGGTGGGCCTGAGCAGGGACTAGAGAGATTCTCAGAGGAGGACACTTAGAAGGGTCCCCAACTTCAGGAGAAGTTGGTGAGTCTGAGCTCCCAGAGGATGGTGGCAGGGATCAAAGAGTCCCGAGGTTGTCCACCTGGTTCCCCGTTTTGGGAACTGCACCTCACATTTGTAAGGTGTCCTGTTCACCATCGCAGGGACACGCAGATAGGGAGGGGCTCTCTAAGTGATATGGGGCAGTGGTGACCTTGGAGCGTTTTCTTCAGAGTATCGTTCTGGTAGTGGGTGGACATGGGCTGGGGGGTGCTTCCTTCTGGGAGCTTCACTGGGAGCTGCCTTGTGCTCTAGCCCTTGGTGACAGAACTTCAACTTGGGCCTCCCTCAGGGAGGGAGGATTCCACTTCCTGGTGTTTTGTAGGAAGGAGCCATCAGGGACCCAGTCTCTCCTGTAGCCCACAGCATCCTTTCTCCTTTTGTGGAGTTCCAGAGAAGCTTCAGTTTTCTGGCTTCCTACATAAGTCTGAAGCTCAGTGTTTGCCTTGAGTTTGCCTTGGAGGCCTGAGCTGGAGTCAAGAGTGACTTCACTTACAGTGCCTCTGAGTCACAAGATATGGTTGTTGGGCATAGAGAAGAAAAAGTTAAGCCACATGTGGTGGCACACACCTATAATCCCAGCATTCCAGGCAGCTGAGACTGGGAGCTGGCAAGTTTAATCCCAGCCTAGGCATTTTTGCAACTTCATGAAAACCTGTCTAAAAAAGGCTGGGGGCATAGTTCACTGTGATGACCCTCATTCAATCCTCAGTACTTTTAAGAAAAAAAAAAAAAAAAAAAAAAAGTAGGGTAAACCCCAACGACACACTTCAGTGGAAGCAAGACCTCAGCCCAGGAGTCCAGCTCCCAGTCCTCTGCACTATTAGGCAAGCATAAGTCCATATCTGCCTTTCTGGGTTGAAAGCTAAGGAAGCTAAGAAGCTGCTCCTCTTCTAGCCCAGCAACAGAGGCCATCTTCTTTGAGGAGAATAGTCCCAAGAAATGTGAACAAAACTTGTTTCTTTACTCAGGCAAATACTAGAGCACCTGTCCTGCTCCAGACCTTATAGGAGGCCCTGGTGGCCTTAGCTCTGGCTGTGTGTGAAGGTTCCTGGTTCAGGTGAGATTGTCTTGCTCCTTGTAGTGCCTGGGTACAGGACCATGACTGTGACCAAGGGTGGGGCCAAAGCTTTGTGGCCCAGAAGCCAGTGGCTGCTTTGCTGGCCCCTGTCAGGGTTCCAAGTTGGGTTGACCCCCATTGGCTGAGCATTGGTCCTGTTCTGGGCAAGACCTGACTTTGGAACACAGGCCCTGGCCTGGGGGCCCAGTGGGAGGGTTTTACAACCTTCATATTTGACCATCTCAGGCAGTGAACCCAGAAATTGAAAAGAGGAATGGCTGGCAGGAACTCAGGCCTTCTCTGCCAAGGGTTCTTAGTGCGGAGCTTGACTGAACGTAGTCACTGTGGGAGTCAAACACTTCATTTAAAAAAAATACGTATTTTATTTGGTGATGCTGGCCTTTCCATGTGCTAGGCAAGCACTGGCATCAAGCTATATTTATGGCCCTAGAGCCCTCATTACTTAAAACATCCAGAAAAATTCCTTTGTTTTGCACCAACTTAGATTTATGGGAAAGTTACAAAAATAGCACAGGAGTTTGTGTATCTCCCTTATTCCATACAAAAGAGGTGAGGTTTTGTCATAGTGATGGCTGCACTTGCTGCAGTGGTGTCCATAAGCCCAAGGCCCATTCTGCCACCGAGCCACAACCAGGCACAGTGTCTTCTAAGGTGAGCATCCTTTAGTGCCAGGAACTTAGTTACTGCTGGTGTGACACCAAGAACTAAACTAATGGCTTTTTTTCCCGCTTTCCACTGCCTCCTTTGTGGCCCTGGATTCTCTGCAGGGTCTCCCTGTGCAAATGCTTGTCCTTCTTCCTGTTCTTGGACCAGCTCCCAGTCACTCTTCATCTTTCCCAGCCTCACCACCCAAAGAGGTGCTGTGTCAAATGTCCTTCGTCTAGGTTTTTCTGATTGTTTCCCATGATTGGAATGCCATTTTGGCAGGAATCCCGCAGAAATGCTATTAGGTCCCCCTGAACATGGTGTCAGAGGTCACGATACCCACTTAGCCTGTCCCCGGTGAGGCAGGATGGCACATTAAGAAGTGTCCTCTGCCGGTGTCCCCTGTGTACAGGAACCCTGAGAGCCTCATGTGTTAATGAAGCTAGCGTGTTCCATCTTGAGCTTCTTTACAATCACCTTAAGAGTCTGAAGTGCCCATGAAACAGTAGGGGGCTTCTTCACCCAGGCCAGCAGGGACCGAAGACGCAGGAAGGAGCCTGGGCGTGTCCCTGCACCAGCTCAGCCTGCACCCCAGCCCTGCTCCCATTGAGACCACATCGCACACTCAGCTCTGCTCTCTTCTCTCCCCAAGTGCCTCCTTCCCCAGCGGCCCCTCCAGCAACCTTGGAAGCTTCCCTACCATTGTGCCCGTGCAGATGCCAAAGCCTAGCAGGGTCCAGCAGGCACTCGCAGGTAGGTGCCCTTGAACAGATCATCCCTCCCCCCAGGGCTTAGTGGGAGGAGGGGGTGTGGACTTGCCACCATCTGGGACATCACCAACCCAAAGGGCTCCTGGGGAGCAATTTTTCTGGTGATCCTGTAATGCCAAGGAATGAGCCCACCTGTGCCTCCTTCAGCCCTCTGGGGAGTGGAGCCTGATAACAGTCCCCAGGGTGTGAACCTGTCATGTCCTGTAAGGTTTTTTTTCTGCATGGGTGCGTGCATGCGTGCGTGTGTGTGTTTGTGGTTATTGGGATGAAACTCAGGGCCTTACACAGGTAGGCAGGCACCTGCCCCTGGGCTATACCCCAACTATTTTTTGAGACAAGGTCTCACTGTATTTTTCAGGTTGACTTAAACTTGTGATTTTTGTGTTGAGCCTTCTGAGAAATGTAGATTACAGGTGTGTGCCACCAGTCCTGGCCTTTTACATTTTGCATTGAATTAAATTACAGTTAGGGTAAAAGTTTACAGTTAGGGGCCGGAGATGGCTCAGTAGAATAAGCACTTGCCTGGCAAGCACAAGGGCCTGAGTTCAATCCCTGGTTCCACCAAAAAAAAAAAAAAAAAAAAAAAAAAAAAAGTTTACAGTTAGGAACCAAATGTGGTGGCACACACCTGGAGTGCTAGCGCTGGAGGCTGAAACAGGAGGATCACAAATTCAAGTTCAGCTTGGGTTACTTAACAAGTTAGCAAAAACCAGCTTCAAAATTGAAATTAAAAAATAAGGGAAGGAAAAAAAAATAAGGGAAGGAAGGAAAGGGAGGGGACAAGGATGAGAGGGCCTGGGGATGTAGCTCAGGGCACAGACTCCTGGGTTCTGGCCCCAGGACCACAAAAAAAAAAAAAAAAGAGATTATAGTTTGAGCCGGTTTTCTGTCATGAAATGCCTTAGGCAGGGCCGGATGGGATTCTTTGAGCCTCTTGTCTGTACTTAGTCTCATCCAGAGTAAACGCCTTTGGGCCCATCTAGATCACTGGTCACCTCTGTGTGCTTACTCTGTGAAGTCCTCTTAGAGTGTAGGGCATTCCTACGATTGTTGACAGTAGCTGGTGGGTGCCACGGAGTATTTGGAAAGGAAGGCAGATCCTACAGCGAGCCTCCATTGTTCGCAGCTGAGGCCTGCGAATCAGTGACTGAGCTTGATTTTGGAGGCTCCCTATGTCAGCCTGGATGGTTAGATGAATAGGCCCAGGGCAGGCAGCCATATGGAGCCTGGGTGAGGCCCGAGGTGGTGGAGGGATGCAGAGGAAGGAGCCTTCAGTGTGTGATGAGGGGCTCCTGCGCGTGCTCATGGGTTTCATCCCTAAATAACACTGTGAGGTGAAGACTTTTCTTCTCACTTCTGGAAACTCAAGCCCCCGATATTCTGGCTTCAGGAACTGGGCTTTTCCCATGGTGGTTTGGTGTTCCCGGGTCAGTGGAGCCTTGGGTGGGGTGATGACTGGTGTAGACGTGTGGGATATCCCAGGGTCAGCAAGAGCATGGGTGTGCCTCTCAGGAGGGTGGTCTGCAGGAGATGGCGGCCCCTTGCCCACATAGGAGGGACAAGGAACCTGCAGAGGGGCAGCGGGAAGGGTGGAGAATGCCACGCTCGCACTCCCAATGCTGCAGCTGCTCCCCAGCCTTAGCCTCTGCTGGACCCAGAGGAGAGAGTGGCAGATGCTGACCAGAGAGTTCTGCCCACTTTCAGGTACACTGTGTGGGTCTGGGGTGAGTTCGTTGGTAACATGTGCGCACGTATATGTCCTGTTGGACAGAGGTGACCCATAAATAGGCCAGGTGCCCACATGGCCCTCATGCTGACAGGACCTGGTGGTGTGGTCGCTGAGGCATTGACAGAATCAAACGCTCTCTCAGTGGTTCTCAGGTGTGCCTGGGCATCAGCACCAGTCCCCTCCCTGGCCAAGGTTGAGAGCCCTCTCCAGGCTGCATCCTTGCTAGTTTTCAGTGTCACTGTCACCTCAGCCCTTATAGCAATCCTGGAAGTGGGCAGATTTTTCCTTTTCCTTTTTATTTCTTTATATTGCTAATGATGAAATCTGTGGCCACATGCATAGTGGGCAAGTACTTCACCAATGAGCTACATCCACAGCCCCTAGGCAAGTTGTTTTTTTTTTTTTTTTTTTTTTTTTGCGGAACTGGGGATTGAACTCAGGCCCTTGCGCTTGCCTGGGAAGCACTTATTCCACTGCCCTAGGCAAATATTTTAACCTGTTTGACTGAAAGGGAAAATGAGGCAGGAGGCTGGCCAGTTTCAGCCCAGCCCATGTGTCTTAGCAAGACTGTGTCTCAAAGCTGAAAATAATAAGGGCTGAGAATTTAGATGTAGCTCATTCAGCAGGCCTTGGGTATAGTCCCTATCACTGCCAAGTCAGTCAATTAATTAATCCAAGGCTCTGTGATTGATACTTGCTGGTGGGACCATTTTGTAGGGTACCAGGGAATAAAGTAAGGGTTGGGAATGTCCTCTCTCACCCTCAGCCATGTTAATGAATTCTGGAATATACCACACCCTGCCACGGGGAGGTGAGCATTTGGGGACAGGTTTCTGCAGGTCAGTTTATAACCAGGTGGTCATGTTGTGGCAGGACTGTGTGGGCTGGAGGAGCTGTGCCTCCCAGTGATGGTGCCCCCAGGTGGCCGCTCCCCTGGTACACTTCACCCAGCCCTCACCTTTGTGGCATGGGGCCAGGCCTGCAGGGCTGGGGCCAGCGTCTCCCCATTCTGCCTGCCAAAGAAGAGGCAGCATCTGCAGCCAGGTCTTGTATCTTACACTCTTACACTGCTGCTCAGGAGCCTGCTGAGGACCTGCCAGCGAGGGAGGAGTGACACTGGGTGGGAAGCCAGGGCCAGGGAGCACCAGCTTGCTTTTCTGTCCCGGCCCTAGGAAAAAGCTGACCCTTGCTGTCCAGAAAGAGTGCTGATGTTTGGGCGTGGGAGTCTGCAGATGGAGGCTATGTACTTTTCGGGACTCAGAGAGAAAGCTTTCAGGAAAACCCTTGGCTGTTGCCTAAGTTGTTACGGTGCTTTGGGGCTGTCCCAGAGCCCCTGCTGCTGCGGGAGATGAGCTGACCTGCTTGGTGCCCCCACCCTGTTCCAGCCATTGCTTGCCATTTTGTGAGGTGTCCGATGTGGGGCGCTTTTCAGACTTCACAGGAAGCTAGAGCCATGGAGCAAGGCTGTTTTCTCAGGTGACTGCATTGAGACGCGTCTGGCTAGAGTTCGGAGGAGCTGGTCTTATGTTGGACAGGACGGGAGTGTTGTGACTGTCTGGTGACAGTGAGGTGCCTGGGGGTGTCTTCATTCTTCAGTGGACGCATAGCCTGTGCCTCCTACAGATGATGCCCTCCCTGGAGCTGGAAGGACAATAGTAGGCAGGCTGTGCCCTCACCCATGGGACACATGCTAAGAATAAGGTGGTCAACTAGCAGGTGCACAGGTGATTTCAGCAAGAGAAGTACTGACAAGATAAAGCAGGGTAGAGGAGCTGGGAGTGGGCAGGGATGTGACCTGGTCCACAAGGTGGGCAGGGAGACTAGGTTCTCCTCAGAGGTGGTGCTTAAGAGCTCAGTGGGATGTTGGTGGGAGACATTCCCGTCAGAGGATGTAGTCAGTACAGAGCCTTTGGGTCCTCTCAAGGAACACAGCTCTTCTTTCTAGTCTATCCCATCTTTCATCCACCTGTGCTAGCTGTGTCTTTCTGTCCCTCTGACATTTAATTCTCAAGGGAGTTAGTGACATCTGAGCCCTCCTACAATCTTGGGAAGCACGTGGCATTGCAGCGACCTAGCAGCAGTCCAGCAGAGCCCAGGCTGGAACCTGGCTCTTCTGGTGTGCACTTTGGTCTCTGGCTGAGTGGTGGCCACAGTACCCCTGCGAACTCCCCTGTGCTGCCCAGCTTGCCGGTGGCTGCCTTCTGCCTCTGTCCCCAACTGGGCACACTGGTTGGGCTGAGAGCCTTTGTTCTTGGGCCGGCCACAGGGCTGGTCTAGTGGACACACTGCTGCCCATGCAGCTCCTTCTGTGATGGCACCAGTGAAAGAAGCCGCAGCCAAGGGCCCTGGGTTCCTTCAGTGTAGGAGCAGTCCCAAGGGGCAGTATTCCCGTCTCAGCAGTTAGTGAAGCCGTGTCACTAGACAGGTCACGTAGGGCATGGAAAGCAGACAGTCCCCTGCAGGAGGCAGCATGACCGTAAGCCAAGAGGGTGTGCTAAGGCCTGGAGGTGTCAGGGTCATTGGTAAGCCTGAGCCCTTGAAGCCAGCCCTGCTGGCAAGGTCCCTCTGCATTTCTGCAGCTTGGCTGTGCCCTGCCGCATTGTCGCATCTGCTCTTCCTGCTGCACCCAGTATGGGGAGATGCCACCTAGGACGGCTCAGGTGGCTTCTTGGGGTGACATTTTGTCATCTACTCTCGTACAGCAACTGGCCTGGCCCCCCTGCATGCTCTAGGGACAGGCCAGACAAGTGCTTAGCAGATACCTGAGGACTTAAGGTATCCATGGCCGGGTGCTGGTGAGCAAGCCACGTCACTAGGCTTACTTACCGGCCTGGAATGCAAACCTGGCAGCCTTGAGTAGTCCAGATTCCCCAGAAGATTTATAGGTCCTGGGAGCCGTTCCTGGTGCCACCTCGGACTCGGCAGGGTTTGTGGGTGTTGCGTGCCAAGTGCACCTTCTAATGTTTCTCCCTGCATGTCTGATCTCGCACTGTGCAGGCATGACAAGTGTGCTGATGTCAGCTATTGGACTCCCCGTGTGTCTTAGCCGCGCACCCCAGCCCGCCAGCCCTCCCGCCTCCCGCCTGGCCTCTAAAAGTCACAGCTCAGTTAAGAAACTAAGGAAAATGTCCGTGAAAGGTAGTCCCTGTTCACAAACGCGCTCCAGCCTCTGCTAAGCCTCCTCTGAGTCTCACTGCCTCCAACTCCCCTCATGCAATTGTTCTTCTCTGACCTTCCACCCCTGCCCTGCTCCCTGTGGCCCTCTCTCCCTTCCCTCCCTTGGCAGCTGAGGTGGCTTCTGAGAATCTTGTTTTCCAGGCACAGTGGAACGAGGGGGGCTTGTTCCCAAGGATCCTGTAAACATCAAGGTGCAAATGAGGCCTGGCAGGGATGATAGGACGACTGTCCCTGCTGTGAGCCCAGGGTGTCCCAGGAAAGGCCCCTGCAGTATGGCCTGGGAAGAAAGGGTTTCAGAGCCATGGAAGGGATGGCGTTTGTGACAAGGCTGGTGTGGTAGTTAAGTTTTGAGCTCTTCTGGTGGCCCATGAGGTACTGTGGTAGTATGCAGGGCTGACTGGCCCTGCTAGTCCAGGTTGCTGTTGCAGCTCAGGCTCTCCTTGGCTTTGTGACCTGCAGATTTCTCCTGCATGATCGCCTGCAGTTTAGGTAGGCTGCGCTGAGAGGACCAGGTGGGAGAGGTGAAACAGTGGTAGCTGCTCTGGTCATGGCCTTTGACTTGTCTGATCCCCACCTCCCAGGCCAGGAGTTGTGTCCAGGGAGGGGTGGCTTTAGGGCTCCTGATCCCAGCGCTGGGCTCCACACATGCTGCTCTTAGCTTCCTTGTGGAGATGGGGTGGGCTGGATGGGTGGGCAGCAGTCTGGGCACCCAGCCTGTTCAGGAGGATCCTGTGGCCTTCCTGGGCCCAGATACCCCATTTGTGGGTGATAGCCACCTGGCCAGCCTTGGTGTTTGTGTGGTTTTGGGGTTCAAACCCAACACCATGCCTGGATAAGAAGGGTGGCTAATGTCAGCTCCTTTCAGTTCTGAAAGGCCATATGGGTGAGGGATGGGTGCCAGGCCAGCCTTACTTGACCCAAGGACCTGCTTCTGGCAGAGGCTGTCCGTGGGCCCCTGGGAGACTGGCCTGTAGCCACTGGACTTTTCTAAAAGGAGAGGCTTCCTCTGGGCAGGGCGTCCTGGCTGATGCATGGCTATCCTGTGCCTGTGGTCATTGTTTTGGCCTGGATTTCTCACCAGTGAACAGGGTCTAGGTTCTGAGAGTCTGTATGGATGAATACATCACATATGGGAATGGGGTGTGTGGGGATGGGGATGGTGATAGGTGTGAGTGGCCACGTATATCCCCTGCTGGTCGCTGCCCTTCTCAGGTGCTAGCAGCTGAAGCCTTATGCCAGTAACACTGTTAGGTACTGGGTGCTTACCCTTAGCTGTGGGACCTGGAGCTTTGAGGTGATACCTTTGGCCACAACACAAGAGCCAGCATCAAGCCTAGTGTTCCTGATGGGGGGCCCTCTCCTGTACCTAGCCACTCCCTGAAAGCTTCCACCAGCCTTCTCTGGTCTGGAGAACATTCATTTGTTGAGCCCTTAGATTTACATCTATGTAGTCACAGGCTGAGTGCTGTGAGCTTAGGCTCAAACCAGGAACCCCTTCTCTCAGAGATGTGGGCTGGGCCATGCCCTTAAGATGGCATGAGGAGCCCTGCCAGGGGGCTGCCTCTGTGAGGCACTGGTCCCTTGCCCCCTCCTCTGCCTCTACCTGGGCTCATGTGCAGTGCCCAGGATCACAGGGATAACGTGATCCTGCTGCGGCCACGGCTGTAAACCCCCAGCGGTGCCATGCACTTGCTGGGAGTGCCTGTCCTTGGACAGGGCTGGGGGGTCCTCCCCCTCCCTCATGCATGTGTGGGAACCAGTGGGCAGCCAAAGTGTGTCCCTTGTTTCTCCCGGTGGTGCATGAGAGAGCGGCATTGTGGCGTTGCCCACAGGGAGCACACACACAGGTGCCCATGTGCACCAGGTCCCCGGGACAGGTGGGCTCTGATCTTCCTGTCCCCCTGAGATCACCATGTAAGAGTGATAAAGCTGGAAGAAACTGTACTTCAGGATGGTCATGGGGAAGTTTGTCCTTGAAGCTGCTTTTGGATATTTCTGAGATCCTCCATAGGGTCTGGGTCAAGTTTCTTGGGGCATGAGTAGGAGAATTGCAGGCGTTGCTCTCTTTCTGCCCCCCTTCAACCACCGCCACCTCCGCCAGGGCCCCTAGTCTGGGCCAGCTTCATGCAGGTGGCCTGGTGCGACTGCAAATATCCTGTTTTGCAAGCTAATCTTCTGTCTTAGCCCTGCTAACATTTTCTCCTGCAGCTTGGACCTCTGCCGTCTGTCCGCCTTCCTTCCCCAGCATCACCCTCCCCAGTATGCACACCTGGGACTCTGTTTACCTGCCCTTCTCTTCCAGGGGGCGCTCCAAAACGTGAGCCAGAACAGGTGATCAGAAAATACACTGAGGAGCTGAAGACCCCTCCGGATGAGGTATGCATCCTGATTGCCACATTGTAGGTCTCGCTACACAGCTTGGACTCATAGTGATCCTCCTGTCTCAGCTTCCCCAGTGCTGGGATTACAGGCATGCGCCACCACACCCAGTTTCAGTGGCCAGCACACATGATTCAGGGGCTGGCAAGCTGGGGATCTAACCCAGGGTCTTCTGCATACCAGGAAGGTGCTTAGACTGCCAGGCTATCTCCCCAGCCCTGTCGTGATTCTTGTTTGGAAATGAGAGCAAACTCCATGTGAAGGGAACCTCAGCCTGCTTGGCCCCTGGGGTACTTCCCAGGTGTCTCTGGGGCAGGTGCCATGTTCTGGGTTCTGTGGTTTCAGCTCCAGCCTCTCATGGGAGGTAGGAACCCCAAGACAAGGTGGCCAGGGCTCCTGAAACCTGTCATTCACATCTCATGTATGAAGTGTGCTCCTGAGCAAAACTTTTCTCAAGCCAGGCACAGTGGCATAGGCCTGTAATTCCTACTCTGCAGGGCTGAAGCAGGAAGATCTAAACTTTAAGCCCAGACTAAACAACTTAATATCTTACTTGAGATTTACTTTGTCTTACCAAAGGGGGTGGGAGTATAAATCATTCCAGAGGTCCTGGGTTCAATTCTTAGTATTGCAAAAACCAAACCCAAACACAACACTGTGTATCTTGCATGAAGGGGCCAGGAGTCCCAGCACTGAGCTCAGTGCGTCTGCCCTGCCCAGCAAGGTAGCCTTGTCGGGAGGCACTCCTGGCCCAGGGCCTGTTGGAGTGCCAGTCACAGTTCCTGCCCATCCCCAGCCCCAGTGGGCCCCAAACCTTACTCTACTGAGAACATCTTGGGAACTCCTAGAGGTCCTGGAGTGGGGTTCAAGGTCAGGAGTGGAGTGTGGAGCCCACGGTTTTCCATGCTACTTTGTCCTGAGAATGAGTATGAGAAAGTCTGGGTAGGAAAGAGACAGGAGCTTTAGAGTCATCCACACTTCCTCCTTTCCTGCAGCCTCTCTGGCCCTCCCCGGCCTCTTCCTGTGCAGGTCACTGTCCTTGTGGCCACCATGCAGGTGGCTGCTGAGCGTGGGGCCCACATGTGACTTTTCCCAGACCTGGTCTCATCCCCCTCTATCTTCCAAGCGGCCCTGAGCTGCCTCTGTGCTCTTCATGTTTGAGCACATTCTCTTCCCCTCACCGGCGATGCCCATCCCTTCTCCTGTGGCTGCTCCTGTGTCCTTGGCTCAAGCAGCTCGGAGCCCCCCTCCTTATTGTCCTCTCCATCCTGCTCTTCCCACGGCCCCTCAGGCCCCTGCTTTGGCTTAGCCCTTACTGGGCACAGGTCCCAGTGATTCTGGTGTTCCCAACCCCTGGAACAGACAGTAGCCTCCAGCCAGCTTGGCAAGTGTGCCTGTGTTTGGTCCCCCAGGACTGCATGATCTGCATGGAGAAGCTGTCTGTGGTTTCTGGGTACAGTGACGTGACCGACAGCAAGACCCTTGGGCCTGTGGCCGTGGGCCGCCTCTCCAAGTGCAGCCACGCCTTCCACCTGCTGTGCCTGCTGGCCATGTACTGCAACGGGAACAAGGTGCCTGCAGCAGCGGGGTATGGGAGGAAGTGACCTGCTGCCTCTGACAGAAGCAGCCCTGGGGTGGCCGTGGCCCCTGTCCTGCAGCCAGATGGGCTTGGCTACTAGACTGGATAGCAGTGTGAAGTCTCTGCTGGCAAGATAGCCAGGGCCTGGAGCTGGCCCAGAGACTTCTGCAAGCCCTGCTGGCTCACCCAGGCCTGCCCGCGCTTTGGAAGGGGCCAGTGACACGAGGCACCCCAGCTTTCCAGCCAGGCTTGGGGAGATGCTGGGCTCTCCTGAGCTGCCAGTTCCATTTCACTCTGTCACTTACAAGTCACGCATCTTCCTGTGATGTCCCTCTGCTGTCAGCCCTGTGTTGGGGAAGACGATTCAAAGTGGGACACCATGGACATCTGTGTCCCCTCTACCCAGAAGGAGTCCTGCACACTCCTCAATGTTGACCCCTGGTGACTTCCAGGGTGTGCAGAGGTTGGGAGGCCAGATGGAACCAAATCCATGACGGCTGTCCAGCCTGGCTTGGACCTTGCAGCGCCCTGGGTAGCCCCAGCAGCAGGCCTGAGTAGGTCATTGCAGTCTGTTGCATTTTTAAAGTGATAAGGCTGGAGGCACTCAGGAACCTGATTTTTGGGCCATGGAGATGGATCAGTGGCATAAGCTCCTGCGTAGGAAGCATAAGGTCCCAAGTTTGATCCCTAGTACCACAAAAAAAAAAAAAAAAAAAAGAAAGAAAGAAAGAAAGAAAGAAAGAAAGAAAGAAAGAAAGAAAGAAAGAAAGAAAGAAAGAAACCTGATTTTCCTGCCTGGCCAGTATCTTGATGTCTTCTTGTCCCTTTATGAGAATTCCATGGGACTGTGGTGGTCGGTCGGTCTGTCTGTCTGTCTGTCTTTCTTTCTTTCTCTTTTTCTTTCTTTCTTTTTTTTTTTTGGTAGAACTGGGGATTGAACTCAGGCCCTTGTGCTTGCCAGGGAAGCACTTATTCTACTGAGCTATCTCCCGGGCCCTCTTTGGTTTCTTTTTTTAAATTTATTTTTTGTCTTTTTGAGGCAGGATCTCACTATGCAGTTCAAGCTGGCCTTGAGCTCACTTTGTAGCCCAGGCTGGTCTTGAACTCGAAATGATCCTCCTGCCTCAGCTTCCCAAGTGCTGGGATTACAGGCATGCACCACCACACCCAGCTCTAGGTTTTGG